CTAAAAAATGGCGTTGTCAGCAGGATAAATACTGCGCAAATTTCTCTCTGTTCTCCTCGCCATCTGTGGAAAGATTGTAAATTTCAGAAATCTTACAAGCGAGAAGTCGCCGTCCGACGGCGACTTCTAAATAGTGAAGATAGTTTTAATGTTCACCTGTCAAAATAAATTGGAATTTGGAAATGATGGTTTTTGAGGACAGGAGGAAACCGAAGTACCCGGAGAAAAACCTCTCGGAGCAAAGGAGAGAACAAACAACAAACTAAAATTGCAGCTGGCACTCGAACAACATAGACAACACAATGAACAAGAAACAGCAAGACCACAAGTTCAACTTACTCCATTTCATTTATTTCTTAGCCTTACATAAGGTTGCCAGATCATAATCCCAGAATAACAGAAAGTGGTTTCTTTCAACGTCAGTGAAATAGCTACAATCGCTAAGGACCTGGGCAGGTGCTTACCATTTATACCATTCTGTTGAAAATATCGTACTTTGACTATCAACAATTAAATTTGGCAAGGCAAGCTAAAGCACCGCTAGAAAATATAGCCAGAATAGTTACAGAGACCGAAGAAAGCATAAAAGTGAATGATTCTCACAAAGGAAGGGCCAGTATTTTCTGAAGTTTTCCAGATAGAAAGGCATCAATTTCTTCATTTTCCATTCGTAATATGCGGTTTTCCCAAGTAAATGGTAAGTACCTATGGTTACATGTATTTCCCCGTTTTTTTTCTAATTAACTAAGCCGCTTGCGAACATTTTTTTGTTTACTGGATTCAACGACCTGGCCTTTCGGATTAGTCTCTAGCTAACATTCCACTCTTGTCCGGCACGGAGATGCATCTGGCAGGTCGACACTTGCAGGTCTTTATCTCCACAAAGTTGGTCATTCTTGTTTCCCCGTTCCGGACATTTCGCACAACATTGAAACGCTCAACGTCCTCTGGCTGGCAACAATTATAAGAGGACTTGTAGCCTTCCATACGTGACGGCCGAGACGGAGTCATAATGGCCCCTGCATTGAGTGAAGTTGTTCTTACGTAGCGAAGTGCAATTCGATTAGTCTCGGTTTTTATCCAGCTTATAAGTTTCAAAGCTGTACAGCTTCCTGTAGTTTTGGAGAGGTTGTAAATTTGGTACAGACTGGCTCTGTGAATCAAAAGAAAGCATTGTTTTAAAACTAGCTAGGCGTCGCTATAGAGACCTTTGAACTGGAGGACAGGGGCCGCGACAACGAGGACGTAACCTAACTTTAATTTTTTTTCACGTATTCTCAAAATATAGCCACCACGTAAAAGTTTATGTTACTTTTTTTTACCATGAAAGTTAACAGGCTTAATTTTATTGAAGGAGGGTAAGGGCCCTCTCCCGATCGCAAAATGGTACAACTTCAAATATGTGATAACTTGCCGCAACTACGACATTCTCGCTAAATCTCATGAATCTCGTAAAAGTTCTCGACTATAACACTTTTCCCCGCCGAAATGATACTGGTTTATGCATCTCGTTCTCGTAGTTGTAGTAGTTGTACTAGTCTTACAATCGAAAGGTCTCTACTGTCTCCACCTAACTACTAAATCACCTGGCAAATCCTGTCACTTCAGACTTAAGGTTTGCCCCCCTCCCCCCCCCCTCCCCCCCCCCACCACCTCTCCTTTTTGTGATGAAAGTTGCTTAAAAGTTACCCAGAGAACAAAATTTTTTTGTTACCCTCTTCACTTATTACTATTTGAAAATATGTCAATTAGAATAATAAAATAAAGAATTTCTAATCATTTTTGTACAGTTTTAGGGCGTTGCTAAATAACTTTGTCCTCAATTAAAAACCAAAACATTTATGAGTAATAATAACAACAACTTTATTGACTTTATCTTCGACATGAAGATTTCAGTACCAAAACAGTCAATACAATGACAAATGAAACAAAGTAAAATAAAAGTTAAGTAAGAAAGAAAGGAACAACAACTTTATATTGAATATTATCATAAAAGAAAAATGACTTGGCTATGTACGCCTTCTACGCTACTCGTATGGTAAGAAAGTTAAATTAGAGTTCGGATTTATAACAATTTAGAATATTTTCAATATAAGAGGCACCGTGAGTAAAGACTACGCATCAATATCAGGAGCCCATGGCCTCATGTAGTCATGGGCTCCTTTCAATATTAAAATTAATCTTATAAAAATTCTAATGTGAACCAATAAAATTGTTGAATGACCTGCTTCACATGAGACAGGCTTCGTCCGCCATTTTGAATTTTCATACTCAATGTTGACCCTACATTTAAAACTATCTATGTTCGGAAGTACTTCATTCCTTCTGCAACTCCATAAGTAAATTTCCCCAATAAGTATTAGGTAATTTAGTAAAGGATTCAGTTCTTAAAACCCCAATCAAAATATTCTAGTTGAAATTGTTGTTTTCTCGGAAGCAAATAGTTATAGTTCAAACTTTTTCCGGAAAGAGAATGAATAAGGACAGCAACAAAAGAGATGGTTAATCGTTTCCGGCTCCTGTTTACAGAAAGAACAGAAATCATTCGTCCTATATCCAGTCCTAAACAGCTTTAAATTGGTGAAGAGTATATTATTAAGTATTTTGAATTGAAAGGCTTTAACATAAGGTTCAAACGCAACAGAATGAGGTAAAAGAAATGAGCCTGCCTAAGTTCTTCATCAGATAAATTAAAGTTGATTTTCAATCTTCGTGAATAATTTGGAAAACACGCCTTTTTTTAAAAAAGAGTGTAATAAACTCTTGATTTCTTTGTTGTTATATCAAATACATCTTTGTTGATTTTGAATAATGGTGCAGAGTTAAATAGAAGTATTGTTATCAACACAGATAGTGTCTTTTAGACCGGGCGGTATTGAGTGCCGCGTACTGGTCCATTCAAGGAAGTTCGTTCTTCTAACATCTATCCCAACCGATTCATACGACTCTACGTTGTTAAGATGAAAACATAGCTCCGCAATAACTCCATTGGAACGCTTGCTACGCAGGCTAGCCATGGGCGATGTGGAAATGGTGGATATCAAGATAGGATAACGCTCGCTTGTGGATATATAAAAAAATGCGCTTTCCATTGGAAACTGGGAGGATGCCGAAGGGGAAGCGCGGGCCTTTTCCGAGGAAAAAGCCCTGAGTACAAGTTTCTTCGTTTCCTCAGTAACCGCTGGAAAACTGAAAAGGAGCCCATGTATCTAATTTCTCCTTTATGAATGTCATTGCAGAAAATCGTAGAGGTAGTGGCCAAATTAACATATACATCTATATCGAGCCGGATTTATGAAAACCGCACCAGTGGGCTCCTGGAGGCCACACGCCTTAAACTGACTCAGCTAAGGTAAATATTGTCAAGAAACTCAGCTCTTACCCATGGTTCTTTTAAGGTGACTCTCTTCTTGGTTCCTGATTAGCAAAATAAACATTTAAGTCCATCAAAAAGACACTCTGTACTTAGCCATAAACTCTAGCTGCTTGAAGGCTCTAAATGACAGAGGATGCTTGAGACTTAAATAAGTTCTAAGCAGAGAATTCAAGGTTAAATCACCCCCCTGCCTTCCCCCCCCCC